AATAAACGTAGGTTAAAAAACTGTCACAATAAGTGCAACTTGGGTACCCTCAACAATATATATGATGATCGATTTAACTGTAGGAGGAGATAGCTGGACAAACCAAGATCTCTATTTGCTGTAGTACCAAGAAAATGACCAAGTCCAACTTAGGCAACTATAGCTGTGATCAGCTATATATGTCACAATATTTGGAAGAAATCAAAATCCTTTGGCCATGTACACCTTTATTATGAACATCCTACAAAATATTAAAGTTGTACCTCCAAAACTGTAGGAGATAGCCGGACAAACAATGCATCTTACGGACGAACAGATGGACGGACAGGGGTAAATTATTTACCGGATTTGTAATAACATAAGCAACACGACGGGTGCCACATGTGGAGCAGGATCTGCTTACCCTTCCGGAGCACCTGAGATCACCCCCAGTTTTTGGTGGGGTTCGTGTCGCTTAGTCTTTAGTTTTCTATGTTGTGTCATCTGTACTAATATATTTTGTCTGTTTGTCTTTTTATTTTTGGCCATGGCGTTGTCAGTTTGTTTTCGATCTATGAGTTTGACTGTCCCTTTGGTATCTCTCGTCCCTCTTTAAATACCCCCCCCCCTATTTTGTCACGGGGGCTTACGCACACTCTAAAATATATACATACATACAAAAATACATTATATTATATAGTCTGCATGTGCTTGCGTGTGCTTGCGTGTATAAGGTTTTCAGTTGTCTTTTCAACAATAACACCTATCTATCTCAACCTTTCTTGGTGTAATGAACCAGAATATGCAAATCTAGAGAGTTTCGAATGTATTTCTTTGTTCCGCGTCTGCATTTGATGTAAGCGAGGTTTGTATAGTGAGATATACTCACTATACAAATCCTTGATGTAAGTCTTTGCATTTTTATATTTCCCCGCAGATTATAACAATCATAATATTCGGGTCACGGAGATTATTTTTGGTTTGGTTTATAAAAGCCGAAGATTTTACTATTGACAATAATCGGTGGGCTCTTGATTAAAAGCCGAAGATTTTATTATTAAAAATAATCTGCGGGCTCTTGATTAAAAGCCGAAGATTTTACAATTGATAATAATCGGCGGGGGTCAGACTTTTAAAAGCCGAAGATTTTATACTTGAAAATAATCGGCGGCCATTTTGGAAAGCCGAAGATTTTGGAAAGCCGAAGATTTTGAAAAGCCGAAGATTTTGAAAGCCGAAGATTTTGAAAAGCCGAAGATTATGAAAAGCCGAAGATTTTGGAAAGCCGAAGATTTTGGAAAGCCGAAGATTTTGAAAAGCCGAAGATTTTGAAAGCCGAAGATTTTGAAAAGCCGAAGATTTTCAGACTTTTAAAAGCCGAAGATTTTATAATATAATAATCGGCGGTGAATTTTGAAAAGCCGAAGATTTTGAAAAGCCGAAGATTTTGAAAGCCGTAGATTTTGAAAAGCCGAAGATTTTGGAAAGCCGAAGATTTTGAAAAGCCGAAGATTTTGAAAAGCCGAAGATTTTAGAATTGATAATAATCGGCGGGATTTTAAAAGCCGAAGATTTATTTGTATCCATGTATTTTTAAAAGAAAAATAATAATAATCGGGGGGTTCACTGTGGCTTTCCATACTCATTTGATTAAAAGCCGAAGATTTTATAATATAATAATCGGCGGTGAATTTTTACATCGCGATGACCTTGAGGTCATTCCGATGTATTGCTATCGCCTAGATTTCCATTATGTAAATTAGCTTTGGGTTTGTAACCGATCTATAAACATGATAAATATGCGCACATAAACGAGTGCAAAATAACATTCCTTATCGTTTGATATAAATACATCTCTTCAATGAATACTGATAAAAATATTTTTGTTTACAATATAAATTAATAATATGAAAATGTTTTGTAGTTAGATATATATATATAAGTAAAAAATCATTGATAATATCAATGCACACGTACCGAAAAATTGTGTTAAAGCATGCGGGAGAATATCTCAAAGAACGTTTTGCGAAAATACCGGCAATGACCGGTAACTCTGTAATTGTTTTTGCGGGAAAATATGAATGCCTACTCGTATCCAATCTTAGAAAAATCGAATTTTTACAGAAAAGTGTCCACCATGCACTTGCATTGCATTATTATTAGAATAGTAGAATTGAATGATATACAAATGGATGCAAATCATATATATATGTAACTGTTATTTTAATATAATATATAACAACAAATCAGTGTATACTGATTTGTATCACACAATATAATAGTTACTACGGTGAAGTTGGATTTCCTGTCATTTATTCATCATCCACGCACGAACTTGTCTCAGAAAAAAATATATCTCTGTGCATTAACCTCAGTTTCAGGTAAAGAGATATGTTGTTTTTTCTGCGACAAGTGCTTTTGACCATCCTCAAGAACTTGTGGTCATCCGATGTTCAGTACTTCAGTACTTTGATTAAAAGCCGAAGATTTTGACATTGAAAATAATCGGCGGGTCTTTATTTTAAAAGCCGAAGATTTTAGAATTGATAATAATCGGCGGGATTCTAAAAGCCGAAGATTTATTTAAATCCATGTATTTCTAAGGGAAAAATAATAATGATCGGGGGGTTCACTGTGGCTTTCCATACTTTATAACATGTATCAAATACAAAAAAATCGATCTACAGATAAAACAAACTTTAAATAACAAATTACAAATTCTACCGCTACTGTACGTAAAGCAAGCATCAATTCCTCAATCAAATGCATTAACATGTTCTCGGATTAATTTGCACTTCTCGTGAGTGCAAATTGGAACCACATTTTTTTTTAAGGTAGAATTATCAAACTTGGCAATAATATACCTATGCCTATAGGTAAAACAATTAAAAAAAAAGTTTTGATATGGCTCGCCCCGTTCGGCATTAAGAGTGAAATCAGTGTCAATATCCTATAGGATATTTTTTTTTCCCATAGGATTTTTAAAAATCCTACAGGATTTTTAGAAATCCTATAGGATAAAGTCATAATCCCGTAGGATATTTTTAATATCCTGTGGGATATTTAAATCCCTTAGGATAAAAATATCCTGTAGGAGATAAACTATCCTATGGGATAAAATTAATATCCTACAGGATTAAAATTCCTGTGGGATTTTTAAAAAAAAATTTCAATCCTATAGGATATAAATTATCCTATGGGATTATCATGAAAGACTATTTTTCCATAAAAAATGTCCCTTAGGATTATTTATTTCTCCTAAGGGATTTAATTTGTCCTATGGGATATTTTTTCTCCCTTAGGAGCATTTATTTCTCCTAAGGGATTTAATTTGTCCTATGGGATATTTTTTCTCCCTTAGGAGCATTTATTTCTCCTAAGGGATTTAATTTGTCCTATGGGATATTTTTTCTCCCTTAGGATTATTTATTTCTCCTAAGGGATTTAATTTGTCCTATGGGATATTTTTTTTCCCTTAGGATTTTCTTCTTTCCCTTAAAATTTTCTTCTCTCCCTTAGGATTAATTTTGTCCCTTAGGTTTTTTTTTATCTCCCTTAGGATATCTTTTGTCTTGTATGATTTCTTTCAATTTGATAAATGTTAATTTTGTGCTGTAGGTCAGTTTTATCCGATTTGCTTTTTTTCTATAAATATATTTATGGTGTTGTTTGTATCAGTGTTTTGATTTTGATTAAAAAACAACCGTGCAAGACCCTCACAGGTAGTCAAGTCAAGTAGGAAAAACCTTGTTGTTGATTAAAAAAATCTCAATATACTACATCATGCACTTCAAATATTACAATACTTTTATGCTCATCTATGCGAAAAAGTCAAGAATACAGAATATTAAACATCATTAGGAAAAGTAAATTTAGATCTAGTGACAATAAAGATTTTTTTTTAACTTGTATTGATAGCTTACAACCTCATAGATATATATTACTCCAACCAAGAGTTACAAACTATACCTCAGAATATGCAACAGAATACTGTGGATTCATTTGTACGTCAGAAAACAATTTTCTGTTTTGGTGGGTACTGAGTACAAATTATTGACAGTGATATGTTTTGTCCGACTCAATTTTTATATTATAATGTGATTGTTTAAAATTAAAATTGGGCAAATCATTCAGTCAATTAACCACAACTGAAGGTGCAGGGCTAAATAACCATCTTGGAAATGAGAAATGACAATTCTTAATATACAATTGCATACCAAATTTCACAAGTGTTTACTTTCATTAGAAATGACATAGACACAAACTTTAACATTTAGACTATGCAAAAGTTTCAAAGCAAAAAGACCATGACTGAAGTAGAGGTGCTAACACTATCCCTGGAAATGAGATTTGCCAATGTCAACTCAACTGCATACTAAATATATTTGACTTTAGTACAAACAAGTAAAATAAAGGGGAATATTTCAAAGAGACAACCCGACCAAAGGGCAGAAAACAACTGATGTCCACCATTGGGTCTTAAACACAGCTAAAAAGTCCTGCACCTAAAGGCGTGTGTCCGTGTTTCCTAATATTTCATCAAAATGTTTCTACCCAACATCCATTCTATCCAATAGCAAGGACCACATTTCTCATGAATTGAATTGAAAGAACATTTAGAATATTTCAAACCTAAACTATTTCTCATATTTCATTTATCATAAAAATACTTTTTATATATTTCACTTGTCAGAATAATAAAAAAAACAATTTATTGGTTTCCAACTTGGTCTTAAATTCTGTTACTTAGACCATTAAATGATTAAAATTAAAAACTTTACAAATATATCACACATTCTCTTTTTTTCTTTTAATACACAAGCTATAGCACAATGAGGTTCATTGGTCATAAATTGAAAATGAAGGACCAGTAAGTTGATGAAAGGCCAACCTAGAAACTTTTACAAACTATAAATTAAAACCTATTCTATTATATTAAGACAAACAAATAATAAAAAAGACAATTGTTTTTGACATAACATATTTATTTTGTATTTACAAAAGAACTATGCAAAATATACATATAAACACATTTCTTTCTATTTGAAAGTTGTTTTTTACACAGGTAAATTATCTCAGATATATATATTTTCATTAAATGTCAATACTTCAATGCAAAAAAGCATGACTAATAAAAGAAATACATGTAAGAAAAGTATGTTCTATTGTCTACAATGTTACATGCATACATTTCAATTGAAGATTTCCATTTCTCATCTTGTACAAAAGAGAAGGTTCAATAAGGCTCGGACTACTAAATCTTATTACAATTCTCACAAATTCTCTTACTTTTTCCCTACCAATTAAAACAGGCTAATTTCAATATGTTTTAATCAGCAACTTAAAAAGCTTTTAGCCAGAAAATTGACACTTACCCAATCTACTTTCAGAATACAAATAACTTTTCAAAATTTTAAAAATAAATAATACTAACATTGACTTAACTTGTCAAAACACTTACTGTAGCAATTGAAATATTATTTACAAATTAGTTTTTTATATTAACATTTGTACATTTGTGAACATTAAAGATATAGCACTGCTATACAAAAACACTTAGTTTTCAAAATAATCATGAATCAAAATTCCATACAACAATTGCAAACTACAGTACTGTACATTAATGTGAATGATATTTAGTTTCATACAGTCAACTGCTTAAACATGTTGTCACTTATCATGCTTATAAAATGCTGAACTGTCTTCACTAAAGGACAGCAGCTACAAGTTTCTACGAATTAATCTTTGAAACAAACATACAGAAGTCATTTCATTTATAGACACAAAATTTGGTGCTCATATGACATAAGAAGATTATCTATCAAATGTTCCTAGGAGGTAAATATATATACAAAATATACAAAATATACAAAATAGAATTAGTTTTGAGGACTTAAACCCGTGGTCGGTGTGTAACAATCCTAACTGCGGTGTTTCTCTCAAAAGTCTGGATATGGTTGTTGATCGCAGCCAACAAATTACCTTCCATAGCTGGTTGTTCATGTTGTGGTTTCTTGTAACGTCCCATATTTTGTGGCAAAGGAGTCTTTGGTGCAGGGCGTCTTGTTTTCTCGAGGGTAGATAGGTAGCTGATCCACCAAAGTTCATCTTCTCTGTTTAACTTTCCATTTTGAACCCATTTTGGAAGATCTCGTCTCATCAACTGTATGATACCACCAATCTTTTCCATGTTTGGTTCCACCTTCCTCGGCATGTCGAGATTCTGTAATATATTAGTCAGCTCCAATGTTTTGTATGGTGCTGACTCCAATGGCCATTCTTTCATGGCCAAGAAAACTTTGTCTCCATCCTTTGTCAATTTGAATACGTGCTGACTTTTGATTCCAGCTAGACTGGATGGATATGCCATCTGATCCCGGAAATCATACAGTGATTCTACATGCTTTGCAATAGGTTGTGGTGTGTAAGACCTTTTGATCAGATCCAAAAGGCTTGGGATGGTTGTTGTCTTTTCTTTTGAAGCTTTAACAGAAATCCTACTGAATAACTGATCAACATCCTCATGGGTGTGACCCACCATGAGGAATGTCAGCTTTATCTGTAAAAAAAAAAAGATATAGATTTGTAATAAGTTATTAAAGCTTCAATTCCAAATCTCACATTGTTCAACTAAAATTTCATAAGTGCCAATACTTTTTGGTGCACATTAATAATAATAATAGTCAACATACTGAATGTATTGCCTGCTTTACTGACCATGGAATTTATTTTGATAGCCCTAAATATGAAGCATTATTACATGTATCATCATTAACAAGGCTCTGATGATGATAATGGAAGTATTAACGACCTTGACTTGCTATACAGCCCTCACACGGTCGGTAGGCTCTGTGTTGAAGACCGTACTTTGACCTATAATGGTTTACTTTTACTAATTGTGACTTGAATGGAGAGTTGTCTCATTGGCATTCATACCACATCTTCTTATATCTATATACATATAAACATCTTACAATCATTCCATAAACCAAATATTAGTATAAGTGACTTACTGCTTATAGTTTTAGAAAAACAGACCAAAACACAAAAACTTAGCATTGAGCAATGAACCATAAAAATGAGGTGGAGGTCAATAAAACTTGCTGGACAGGTATCTACACTGGAAATATTTCTATACACCTAATATAGTTGACCTATTGCATACAGTATTGGAAAAACAGACTATAACACACAAACTAAACTTTTAACTAGTGAACCATGAAAATGACGTCAAAGTCAGATGGTACCTGGATATGTACACATAAAAATCATTCCATTCACCAAATGTAGTAGTTCAACACAAAAAATAAACTGAACAACAAAAAGCAGAATATGGTTAATATTCATTATAGTCATGAAATAACTTCAATGACTGAAAATCGTAATTATTGGCATCTCTGAATTTTACTGACAATTTTTAAAATTGACTAGTTTCCCAAGGAAGTGCCACTTAGCTACGAATAGATGATAAATAAGTTGACTCTAGACAAAAATACACACATCATGAAGATACATATTATCAGTCCATACATAAAAAATTCTAGATTTTTTTACAATTTGGATATTCATTTTATTATGTTAGAAATCAAACATGAAAATTTGAGTCAAATCAGTGAAAATGAATTAGCTGGGTTTCACCCCTTTAAGTGATTGCCTTAAATGTATTTTTTGGAATCTGTGACTACAACATGCACTTTTGTTTTGTTTTATGAAACATTTTCTCTTTTCTTTTCATAAGTTAGTGATTTTTTGTTATTGTTGATGAAATGACAAGCACATACATGATATATACATGACATATATATCTGCTCTTTGGTAGGGTTGTTGTCTCTTTGACACATTCCCCATTTCCATTCTCAATTTTATGTTATAGCAAAAAAGAGTTTTAATTTGCAACAAACAAATATTGGAACTAAAAATGTATTGCATGCTGTTATGTCTGAATTTATGCCCTTGTGATTTGAAGTAAGGATAACAAAAATGCATGTATGCTAACAAATTCCAATAAAAGTTTCAAATACTAAATTTTATTACCATGGTAACTCCATCTATCAATAAATTAAATAAATGCAAAAAAATTAAATTACCTTTTTTACAATTTCCATTTTCACCAACATTGCTAGGAACATTATCACATATTTATTTTTGTTGTCTTTTGGGGAATTATCAGCTTGAATATATAGTGTAGGAGGTAAACCACCATTTTCCTAAAAAGAAAAAAAAGGGAATCAGCTTTACATATTATACATCATATCATCACAGTTAAAAGTTATCCAACCCTATTATACCAAACATAATATATTTTTCTAGCATATGAAGTATTTTAGTCATAAAAGTATTTAAGTCAAAGCTTATTTTTGAGAAAAGAAGTTTGTTCACCGATAAAACTGCATGAATAAATTGTTTCATTTTCATCTCTTATCATGAGAAGCGCAATTTGTTCCCAACTTTTATAAACTTCTCACATTTCTTTGAAAAATTACAGATTATTGCTTATATTTCCATTACATTTTTGGTAAAAAGCAAAATAAATAATGTTCATGCATTTATATATATATATATTCCCTTGCTGGGATTTCGAACTCATGCTACTGAGATATCGTGGCACCAAATCATATTGTACTGTGAACGACGCACTAGACCACTCGACCACCTAGGCTCTTTATTATATATATTCAGAAATGGGAATGTGAAAATTAACCTCATTATCAAACAAGAATAACATGGCGGTCTAGTGCACATGTAAAAACAAAATAAGCCATGAAATATGTTTTTTTTCTAAAAATCAGTTTTGAATTTGTTTTCCATTTTGTCAACACTTGGCGTTTTAGCTTAGTATAGGGTATGGGTTTTGCTCACTGTAGACGGCCATACTTTGACCTGCAATAGTCTACAACATTGTCTCTATGCATAATTAGTTCATTGGCAACCAAACCCATCGTTCTTACTTTTTTTATATGCAACCCTGTCCAATTATTATTTCTAATTGAATAGTAATGCTAGCTTAGATTAATCTGTAATTTTTCAGTGTCTGTGTCATGTGAAATCTTTGGAGATATGTCTAATTGGCAGTCATACCACATCTCTTAACTTTCATATCTTTGATGTTTAAAATTAATGGACTAGAAGTGGCTTCTATACACTTAGACTTTCTTGTTGTTGCATAAATTGTAAAATAAATGAAAATGTGTTACTGTGGATTAATTATTATTCGTTGGATACCAATTTTCGTGGCTTTCGTTGATACTGGTAAACCACGAATTCAAATGGGCAATGAATTACAAATTTTCTTTAGGCTTTGTATCCAAGGTATGGCAAAACCACGAAATTAAATATCCAGGAAAATGCAAGTTTTCCTCAATCCACGAAAATTGATACCCACGAAAATAAATGAATCCACAGTATTCTCTTGCATGAGAACTTTAGTTAATTGTTTCACTTTAAACTTGATAATAGATACTTACTGTTGCTACATCGCCCAACACAGACATCAAACAATTCAAGGTGATATTGCAATCAGAGGAAAACTGATCTGTCCATGTAAATGTATATGCCTTATTTAATCCATGACATAAAACACCTGTAACATGGTGGTGCATTTTTTCAAGTGTTGTTTCATTCTGAAAAAAAAAAAAAGTTTAAAAACATGTGCTCATAACTTAAACAAGAATGCAATCATAATTCAAAATATTGGCTAACAGGAAGTAGTTATATGACTTATCTGAAGGTGCACTCTTAACATGCTTAACTCATCTATGTTGAGCGGCTGACCAAATAAAGTCATTGATTTCAGTAGTTTCTGAGAAAAATATGACAAAAAAAGTTGAATTCCTTCCAATATTGAAAAATTCAAAGTAATTGCAAACAAGAGTTAGGTATCTGACAAATCTCCAGATTCTTTTTTATATCACATGTCATCACTGTCAAGCTGTTGACCAAATAGCAAATATGAGGTCATTTTATTTTAATAGTAGTTTCTTGAAAAGTTGGATGAAAGTGTTGTACCAACAGATAGACTAGGTGCTACCAATAAAGCCCCCTTCTTATCTAGAATGGTAAAATATTTGTCTCATATAAAATGCTAAAAGAAAATAAATACTGCAAGAAGTCATTTTCACTACACATCCTGTTAGTTCATATGATTGCTGCTTTGCGTTAAGTTAATCAATCATTTAATTACAATGTAAATATAGTGCAAGATACAATTCAATACAGAGAAAGGTTAGGAGTTTGACCAGACCAAATTCTATTAATTGCAGATGCTAACACCACTTAGATCTTCACGATTATGTGTAATTTCCTAGACATTCATAGCAAAATAGAACATTCAAATGATATACCAAACAAGAATGTGTCCATAGTACACAGATTCCCATATCGCACTATCATTTTCTATGTTCAGTGGACCGTGAAATTGGGGTCAAAACTCTAATTTGAAAATTAGAAAGATCATATCATAAGGAACATGTGTACTAAGTTTCAAGTTGATTGGACTTCAACTTCATCAAAAACTAACTTGACGAAAAACTTTAACCTGTAGCGGGACAGACGGACGGACAAAAAAACAGACGCACAGACCAGAAAACATAATGCCCATAAATGGGGCATAAAAATGGACCTTTTTTGTTGTTTTCATTTTATAATTTTACAAATAAGATGAATCTAACACTGCGAGCCTGCTTTCAACATTGAAATTGATTATTGCATTGAAATATCATGTTCTAAATATAACCCTTATAATAAAAATATGCCCTTCCAAAACAAACTCACCTTAAAATGTAATGGAAACCTTGGTAGATTGGTTTTGGACTGATCCATATTGTCAATGATAACAGAAGTGTACATGCTTGGATGTTCTTTGGATTTCTTTATGTGTTTATAATATTTTTCCCTGCAGATTCTGAAAAAAAAATCAAAAATATATACATTACACTCACAAATGATTAATAGTTGTGGTAATTCCATGACCATGACTTCCCTACAACCAACACATTTTCTAGAAGTGGTGAGTAATCATAAATGGTTTCATTGCCCAACATCATGGTTTAGTGATGTTAGGAAGAATAAACTTTCTTTGTACTTGTGCACAGTAGTGACTTAACTAACTAAAGAGCCTGTGTCGCTCACCAAGGTCTATTTGCATCTTCAATTATGGACACTCACAAACATTGGAGACCAGAATAGAATTTATGACAATTATCTTATTTTTGCTGATATTGTATCATTGATATTGTTTTTGTTTATAGTTTCTCTCTATCTTCTTGAGTTTTTGCCCAAACACCAAAAAGGGTAAAAAAAATCTTAATTTAAGACTACTTACTCATATCATATTGGCTTTTTTAAGTGTCTATCTATCTTTCATAATTTTCAAGATAATAGTCAAATTAATTGTTGTTTGTTACTGTGTTCCATTATCTGTTTTTTGTTCATTCTTTTGTGCATAAATTAGGCCATTAGTTTTCTTGTTTGAATTGTTTTACATGTGTCATTTGGGGGCCTTTTTATAGCTGACTATGCTGTATGGGATCTGCTCATTGTTAAAAGCAGTTGGTGTCCCTAAAGTTGTTAATTTCTGTGTCATTTGGTCTCTAGTGGAGAGTTGTATCATTGGCAATCAATACCACATCTTCTTTTTTATAAAAACAGTAAAAAAAATAACCAAGAGCAATAACTCCATAACAAGTCAACTGAGGGTTTTGTATAAATGGGCAGATCACAACATAACATCTCTCTCATCATGTTTTCCCCAATTATAGCAGCTTTCAAGATAATCAGACAAATTTGCATTTAACCCCCACTGTTCTATTTTTAGCTATGTTGGCAATTTTGGTTGGCAGTCATGGTCATAGGCCACCTTTTTTGTATACTAAAAACCTAAGAAGATTGTTGCAGAGTTTGGTTAATTTGGTTCAGTACTTGCAGTTGAGCTAATAATGTAGATGTATTTGCATCAATCATGAAAAGTACAAAAAAAATCATTTTTAAGAGTGGATAAAATTCTTACTCTTGAAGAAGCAAGTGTGCTCTTCTCTTGTCCTTCAGCTCTCCCAAATCGATCTTTGTCAGTTTTTTGCTGATGGTCTCTTTAAAGATTACGCACTCATTACATTTGCTGAGCTTCTGATACTATAAACAAAAAGATTACATCTATTTAATTCTATGAATGTTTCTTAATTTATGCATGACTGAACATTTTTTAATATGACGAAGGGATTAATTATGTGACATAAAGCAGGAGGTATGATATATAAAGTCACTGTCATACCAATGAATTATTAAAGACTTGCAACATAAATTTCATTTTTTTATTAATAAAAGATTGAAATATAGTTTAGTTTCATTTTGAAGGTCCAATGTGACCTTTAGTTGCTTAAATCCATGTCAATTGGACTCTATAGGATAGTTGTCTCATCATTCATGTGTCATACAACATGACCTTTATTTAACATAAAGTGCAGAAAGTAATTTTTATGTCATAAACATGCATATATATGTTGACTTTGACATAATTGACAATTTTACACATAATTATTGAAAAAAAATTGATGTTTGTCATGACTTTACCAAAACATATATTTTGTACATATTAAACAGCTTTGTAAAATACAGTTGATAGCATATGTTTTATGTGCATTGGCATCATAACTGTCAAGATGTGTCAGACTGTGATGATTTCCTACTTTTCAGTTATAATTTAGACATCTGCATATTATTTTATCCCTTCATCATGTTCATAAACCAACACCTTTGTTCTGAATATTACTCCATACAAACCTTTGGAATCTTAACATGAGGAAACTCTTCAATCCACATTCCATAGAACCTCTGGTATGATAAATAGGGTGATCCTAAATTCTCACAGGAAGATTTGTAATCTGTCCAAACTTGTAGTATAGAGAGACATGATGGCAAATGTATTTCCAGAATATCAGGCTGATCATCACCATATCTCTTGCATAGACCTGTAACAAAACTCTTTGCTTCAAGGTACTGGCGACTCTTGTATTGTTGGCTACATCTTTTGTCAGAATTGTCTAAATCTTCATTAGTAGACCTACATTTCTTTTTCATGTAGTAATACCTGAAATTTAAAAATGTAAAAAATATAACAGGCTGATACCACTACTAATTTATGTGGTTTTATTTTCTCGGATTATTTGACATCAATTTTAAAAATCCTTTTAAGGAAATGTGTTTTTTTGTCATAAAAATCATTTTTCAATTTGTTTTATCTGTGAAAAATGTACACAAATCAAGTAAATTGTTAAAGAAACCACCCTAGACTTGATTCAAACAAATAATTCTACAGATGCTGTTTTGAGACTGTCAAAGTTTCATAAATTACATAGCAATTGACCTTTAGAAGTTTTTTATGTCTAAAAAAAACTAAGCCACAGACTGAATATAACATGTATAAGAAGAGTGTTCATCTGTTTGGATATATGTTAAACCCCGCCACATACTTTATGGGCCTGTCCCTAGGACCCTGTAAATTAATGGTTGTTCCTTGCTGTCTGTCATATCTTATTTTGATGGTGGTTTTAGCATATATCTGGCTATTTGATTTCTCAATTGAATCGCTTCCCGTTCTGTGAGCATAAATAGTTTACTATACAATATGGGATTTTCATTGTTAAAGACCTAACAGTGACATGTAGTTGCTTACAACCTCCTCATGGATAGCTGTTTGATTGGTATTTTAAAACAAATGTATATATATACATTAAAAATTAACCAGGTAGACTACAACAGAATGTGGGATCACTACTTTTGATTTGAATTGATTTTGATTTTTTGTGTTTTTAACGTCACTTAGAAGCACCCCTTTTGGGTAATCTTGTGGCAGCCAGTTTTTATTGGTGGAGGAAGCAGTAGCGCCCAAATAAAACAACCGACCTTTGATAGGAAAACTGACAATCCTAGTCAATTAAGATTGGAGTCAAGCACACCCGCACAAGCGGGGTTCTAACTCACAACCTCAGTGTTGACTGGCTAGTGATTACAGTAGTAACTACTAAGATCACAAACCACCGAGGCCCCCTCACTACTTTGATGTTGGGTTGCTGTCATAAGGATGTGTAGCCCATGAACTAATTTATTTATACTTTTAAGGTATTATACCTCCTCCTTTTTATGCCATACACAATCCTCCATGCATATTCACATACTCTCCTACCAGTCAGCACAAAAGTCAACTGTTTGTCTTCTAAACTGGCATCATTGCACCTGTGTACATAATTAAAAAAAAAAACATTTGAAAAAAGTAGATCTCAAGACCACACGTTTTACAGTTTAGGTTTTACGAACTGGTGTTAAGATATGGTATCTATGTCAAAGGTACTACACCAACAATATAACATATTTTTACCAAATGGTTTTTGAATGTTTAAAACTTTTCATGAGAAGTGAATTTTTACCTATCTTCAACATTTTCATAACACATGTCCATTTGGTTATAGATTAAGTCTTATAAAATTGGTCAATAAGAATGAGGCCCTTCATGGGGGTGTCCAAGTAATCGCATAATCACAAATCTTTTGCCAATATAATCTTATAATCATTAATTATTTTTTTAAACAAGATAATCAAATAATCAAAAATACAGTCCTAGATAATCAACTAATCAAATAATCATGAAATATTTGGTCTGGTAATCAAATATTCACTATAAAATCACATTATCAAAAACCCCATTAGGAGGCTCAAGAACCAAAGATTCTCTTTTTTCTTTTTCATCTGATTTGAAAGAAACGAGTAAAATTTATAAAAGATTTCATGTTATTTGTATACATGTATCATGAGACAAATTTTTTTAAAGAAAATTAACATCAGAGCTCATCTATCTTTGTTGGGGAAAAAAACCCCAACAAAATGTTTTTTTTTTAAATTACTTTAAATCAAGTTTTATTAGACTTCTTGTAATTAAGTTAAGGCAGCTTTAATCAACAGAAACATGTACAAATGCATATCAGTATGCGAATGTACACGTATTTGCCATATATATATATATTCTTTTACTGACTCTGCGAAGGCTGTATAGCCAGTCAAGATCATTAAAACACTCTTGTAGTAAATAAAAATCTATTCATATATAAATATACCTTATGTTTCTTTCAATGAAATCTGACTGTTCTTCTTGTGTCTTTTTATAGAACATAGCTCTACAGGTCTGAATTGTCTGAACATTACTGGTGCTTAAACATTTTTTCTCACAGCATGGCGAATTCACAAGGTTGCAAATAACATTGAAGTCTGTCTCCTTATCTTTTAATACATTTGATGTTTTTTCACGTTTCCTGGCTAAAATTAAAAAGAATAAATAAAAATACAAGTATTCAGGAGAAATATCAGAGCCTTACATTCTAAAAAAAACCACTTGCCACTCTTTTCTTTTTAAAAACATGACAAAGATTAGGGGAACAGACTGTTTAAGATATCTCCTGGTCTAAATGGGAACAAGAGTGCTCACGCTGAAATGTCTCGCCTTCTTTTCTAACCATTGATTTTATGTTGATAGTCCTAAATATAAAGCTTTACTACAAGTAACACATAAACTTAACATGATCCAATAAAATGAGGTCAAGGTCAGATAAACCAAACGAGAAATACATGTACACCTTACAATCATTCAATAAACCAAACATAGTTGACCTATTGCTTATAGTTTCTAAGAAACAGTCTTAACCAAGAAAACTGAACATTGACCAATGAACCATGAAAATGAGGTCAAGGTCAGATGCACCATGCCAGACAGACATGTACACCTTACAATCAATTGCATTAAATATAGTTGACCTATTGCTTATAGTATCTAAGAAACAAACTTAACCATGAAAACTTAACATTGACCAATGAACCATGAAAATGAGGTCAAGGTCAGATGATACCTGCCAGACAGACATATACACCTTACAATCCTTCCATACAACAAATATAGTTGATCTATTGCTTATAGTTGAAGAAAAACAGACCAAAACACAAAAACTTAACACTGAGAAATGAACCATGAAAATGAGGTCAAGGTCAAATAAAACCTGCGAGACTGACACTAAAATATTTCCATACACCAAATATAGTTGACCTATTGCATATAGTATTAAAAAAAGACCAAAACGCAAAAAATTAACTTTGACCACTGAACCATGAAAATGAGGTCAAGGTCAGATGACACCTACCAGTTGGTCATGTACACCTTACAATAATTCCATATACCAAATATAGTAGACCTACTACTTATAGTATCTGATAAACGGACTTGACCTCGAAAACTTAACCTTGTTCACTGATCCATGAAATGAGGTTGAGGTCAATTGAAAATTGTCTGACGGGCATGAGGACCTTGCAAGGTACGCATATACTAAATATAGTTATCCTATTACTCATAATAAGAAAGAAATTAACATTACAAAAAATGTTGACTTTTTTTTCAAGTAGTCACTGAACCATGAAAATGAGGTCAAGGACAATGGACATATGACAGACGGAAACTTCGTAACATAAGGCATCTATATACAAAGTATGAAGCATCCAGGTCTTCTAGCTTATAAAATATAAAGCTTTTAAGAAGTTAGCTAACGCTGCCGCCGGATCACTATCCCTATGTCGAGCTTTCAGCGACAAAAGTCACAGGCTCGACAAAAATAGTGAAGTCTCATTGATACATATATATATATATGCTAAATCTTTTAATCAATGACAATATAAAAAACTTTTATTTTTTGACACTGGGACTATTATACTACAGACTTGTAAACTGATTGATCTGTCATGTCTGTTGAGATTTCATTGTCCTGATAGTAGATTATTGATTTTTTTTAATTGACCCCTTATCGTTTCACATGGTTAATAAGCCTTCAGTACATTAAACAAATAGATTTCGGCATACAAGTCAGCATATACATAGAATACTGTTAAAATTGTTTGATTAAAAATCAAAACAAATAATTAAATGCAAAAAATTAAAATATATATGAATAATAAAACTATTTTATCAAATTAAATACATTTACTAGACATGCCAGAAAGAAATGTTTTACACTGGGATAAACTTATGCTGATTAAAACATTTCTTATTGTTTAGGAAAAGGTATTAATAAAGAAGTCAATATATTAGTGTGTCCGTAGTACATGGATGCCCCACTAGCACTATCATTTTCTAATAAGACTTATGTTCAGTGGTCTGTGAACAAAATAATTTAAAAATATCGTTCTTGATTCAATCTTTTGATCACAAGGAAGCATCTGTCAAAGTTTCATAAAATCTCATAATGGTTATTGGTGTTGAAAAACTTAAATAATACCGTATACATATCAATGTTAAATACAGAAAAAAATGTCCTATTATCCATTAAACATGGAAAATGAGATGAAATAGTTTTTCCAATTTCCCTCTAACTTAGAAAATACTGTCAGGCTTCTGTCCAAGCTTCATGTCTTAAACATACATGATACATGTGATATACATAATATATAAATATCTTAAATACTTCTTTGTTCTTACCTATTTTGCGCTTTGCATTTCTAACATCAATGTAGTCATCTTCAAATTCGGTGTCACTATCTACAAAACAACAATAATTATGTCATGCAAGATAAATAAAATTATTCATGTTCACTCCTCTTATTCTATAGTAGGAGTCCAAAGGACAAGTAATTAATTTGGTGCGGTCTTTCAACTTCTTGTTTTAACAAATAAGTCTTCTTCATATACATGTATGTTATAGAATACTTTTTTTCTAATAGAATAAAGCTGAAAATAGATATTTGTCACGAGAAAAAAATTGTCCAACACATAAAAGTATATCCCCACTTTTAAATCAAAATATATGAACACAGGAACTTGATGTCTGACATCCAAAAAGCAGGAGAACACAACAACTCATCATTATTGATCTGCTGAACAAATATAGACATTCTGATTTGAAGTTTTAAAAGAAAAGTGTGTAGAAAATTTCTAGTTCATACAATAAATCAAAATGTCAATGTATTAGTAAACAGAATATCTGTATATGACAAATTTGAAGTGTTCACATATTAAAACTCACTACTGTCAAGTTTGTCAACTATGTATGAAGGCATTCTGTTCGGTAGTTTCTACGAAAAGTGTGATGAAAATATCTATTGAACATACAAATGAGCTGAATAGACAGTTATTACAAAATAGCCCTTATTCTAGACTAAGAGCAGGGTATCAACAAGAAACATAATCATACCTTCAACATGATCAGCAGACTCTAACTGTTTAAATGTAGTAACTTTTACACGCTTCATGGCATAAATTCATTAGAAAGCTGAAAATAAAGAAAATATATATGGTACTCTCAAACAACTATATTGGGATAATGAGACATATTTCCATGATTAACAAGATGAACAGTACTGTAAGGTGTTGCTCTCAAATGATACAGTATCTTGGATGATTTTATTATAGAATGTTATTTAAGGTGGCTCTGGTGTCTTCCTCCATCTTGGATTTTGAAGTAGCAGATAACAAGTGGTCTAGATCTTTAATGAAATGTGCTAATTTTGAATGTAGTATGTAATTCATGTGTTAGACTTTTAATGTAAATATGAAAATTATGTATTTTATCATATTTACAGCTGTAATTTCTAAAAAAAACACCATATTTCAATATCTGTGTTTGATTCATTTTTTTCAACTTTGACAAATAAGGAGAGATAACTAAGATAGTAGGGGAGAAAACTCAGATAAAGTAATTTTATAATAGAAAGTGTTGTGAAATTACCTATTTTAATATGCATGATATGTAGCAAGAAAACAAGTTTGGTGACCCTATTTTTTCTTTTTCTTATCTGAAAGCATGTTATAAGTCTATCTTCTCACATTTTATCTTAAACTTCTATGGTGTAGTTTTCTTTTTATCACACAAAATTGGATTTTCCATGCAGAATCTATACAAAATCTGACAACTTTGCACAACCTGTAGCGTGAAAAAAAGTCTGGTGACCCATACTTTTTATTATATTTTTGAATCAAAGAGCTGATAGCTCTGAGGTGGAAGATGCATAAAAGGTAGCTAAGGACCACCTCCGGGTGCGGGATTTTCTTGCTGCATTGAAGACCCATTGGTGGCCTTCAGCTGTAATCTGCTCTTTGGTCGGGTTGTTGTCTCTTTGACATATTCCTCATTTCAATTCTCAATTTTATTTTTATTGAATTCCCATGAAAGCAGCCCACACCAACCCAGTCTGTTCTGTCACATTATTGCTTCCGACATGTTTTTTTCTTCCAAAAATAATTTTCTTTAATAATACTATAGTCTCAACCAAAACTGACAATACTAAACATAAAAATCTACAAATACTGTTGATTCAAATTAAATTTTTTATATAATTCCATATGATCGTCTCAGCATGGTCAACTTTATACATGCAATTATACCAGTAATTGATAAGGTTTCATTTGGTTTTTTTCTGTCAAAGGTAAATACATGTAGTTCACTTTGGGTATTCCAACTTCCTTAGTATTAAATTATCAAAGCACAAAGGGCGCTATAGGCAATTAATTAAAACATAGGTTGTTTACTACAAAAAAAATTGTCGTTGTGAAGATTTTATTAAATTATTTGATTTACATGTTATGTCATTGCGTCATTCTATGTATTTGGCAGATAGCATAGCTTATGGTAACAAGAGTGCACATGCTGAAATGTCTCGCCTTCTTTAATAACCATTGATATTATGTTGATAGTCCTTAATATAAAGCTTTACTATCAACCTTACAATCATTCAATACACAAAATATAGTTGACCTATTGCTTACAGTTTCTAAGAAACAGACTTAACCAAGAAAACTAAACATTGACCAATGATCCATGAAAATGAGGTCAAGGTCAGATGAACCATGCCAGACAGACATGTACACCTTACAATCAACCTATGCATTAAATATAGTTGACCTATTTCTTATAGTATCTAAGAAACAAACTTAACCATGAAAGCTAACATTGACCAATGAACCAACAAAATGAGGTCAAGGTCAGATGATACCTTCCAGACAGACATATACACCTTACAATCCTTCCATACAAAAAATATAGGTGACCTATTGCTTATAGTTTAAGAAAAACAGACCAAAACACAAAAACTTAACACTGAGCAATGAACCGTGAAAATGAGGTCAAGGTCAAATAAAGCCTGCAAGACTGACATGTGCATCATAAAATATTTCCATACACCAAATATAGTTGACCTTTTGCATTTAGTATTAAAAAAAAAACCAAAACTCAAAAACTTAACTTTGACCACTGAGTGAACCATGAAAATGAGGTCAAGGTCAGATAACACCTGCCAGTTGGACATGTACACCTTACAATTATTCCATACACCAAATATAGTTAGACATATTGCTTACAGTATAAGAAAAACAGACCAAAACACAAAAACTTAACTATAACCACTGAACCATGAAAATGAGGTCAAGGTCAAATGACACCTACCAGTTGGACATGTTCACCTTACGATCCTTCAATACACCAAATATACTATACCTATTGCTTATAGTATCTGAGATATGGACTTGACTGCGAAATCTTAACCTTGTTCACTGATCCATGAAATGAGGTCGAGGTCAAGTGAAAACTGTCTGACGGGCATGAGGACCTTGCAAGGTACGCACATACCAAATATAGTTATCCTATTACTCATAATAAGAGAGAAATTAACATTATAAAAAAAAAAATTTTCAAGTAGTCACTGAACCATGAAAATGAGGTCAAGGACAATGGACATGTGACAGACGGAAACTTCCTAACATAAGGCATCTATATGCAAAGTATGAAGCATCCAGGTCTTCCACCTTCTAAAATATAAAGCTTTTAAGAAGTTAGTGAATGCCGTCGCCGGATCACTATCCCTATGTCGAGCTTTCTGCAACAAAAGTCGCAGGCTCGACAAAAAGTGCATAAATTCACCACAATTCAATAAATTGTCTCAAATGAAAGTTTTCTACCATAAATTTTATTGACTAATAGTTAATATGAACAAAAGACAAATATGTAACACATCAACAAGCGACAACCACTGAATTACAGGCTCCTGACTTGGGACAGACACATACATACAGAATGTGGCAGGGTTAAACATATTAGCGGGATCCCAACCCTCCCCCTAACCTGGGACAGTAGTGTAACATGACTATATTTATATACTTGTTGTTTCTTTTGTATAAAGAAATAGCTCAAGACTACCTTAAACGATCTACAATATTCAAAGTAATATGTGAATTTGTTTCTTGCAATTTCATTATTCTTAGTCAAGGATACATTAACAGACTAACCCCTTCTTTGTAGAATTATTTAACAAAATGATGATGAAGAGCGGCTTGCAGTAAGCAAGCTCTTATACCCCACATAGTCCTTAATTATATATAAACTGAAATCTTTAAATAACAACATAAATTATTGCAGAATTATCTTTTTTTCAAATGATTTAATGTTTGTGAGTCATTTATTTCAAATAATTAACCCGTACTAAAAGGTAAACGGACAGAATGTCACAGGACAAAAAGTCACAGGACATAAAGTCACAAATTTGATAGGACAAAAAGTCACAAATAATTTGTTGACAATTGTTTGAAAATATAAGAGAAAGATCTTGAAATATTTTCTTTTTATTACATATATTCATTTTTAAGTTTAGGAAATTGTTCATAAGCCTTGATAAATGAAAATTTATTAAATTTTAATCATGCAAAGGATATATTACTTGGCACAATGAAGCCATTTAAGTACCAAGCCACTTTGACATTTTGATTTCATAACAATTATTTGATCATTATTGATATTTATTGAATAAATTTTAATTACAAAGTTGCTTCATATATAATAGTTCAAGAAAAAACAAAAATTAAATTTTTTAAATTAGTGTTTTCTTGTTTAAAGAAAAATAATCTCAAAACTGAATTGTGACTTTTTGTCCTGTGACTTTTTGTCTGTGACTTTTTGTTCTGTGACTTTCTGTCCTACATTCTACTAAAATAAGGAGATGTGGTTACATGATTGCCAATGAGATAACAGTCTGATAACTATCCACCAGAGTCTAAATAATGTGGCTGTTGGCAGTTAGAAGTCATTTTACATCATTATATTAAATTATAGCCTCATTTTTTATAAGGATGCATCTTTGGACTCAAAAGTTTTGAAAATGATGAGTCTAGACAGATTTTGATCAGTGCAGGAACAGGCATCAGACGTTCTTTCAATTGAAATAAAATATGGGCAATGGGAAGAAAATAGTGTATGCTATTTTTTTTATATATATGGACTATTTTCTTCCCATTTCCTACATTTTAGTACTTTTGACAGAACGTCTTGTGCCTGTGGTCCAGGACTCATGGACTCGCGTAAACCTTAGGCTGAGTGAGAACCCTGTATAATCTGTTGTTTTCATTTTTTTAGAGCTTCATATATGGTTATCATAAATGCATAACCTTTTTAAATGTCCAACTTGCCTGATTAGGGGCCCTGAGTCCTTTTCAAAAATCAGTATCCGCATCTGACTTCTAAGAACAGTAACAGTCTTCGTGATAAACTTTTGTATAGAACACAGGGGCGCGTATCATAGATGTTTTGGGGCGGATTTATATATGCCAGTCGACTGGTATGCGTTATACATTGTGTTAATAGCGGACTATGATGCGAGCACCTGTGTACTACGGTACAGAACAGGCCCGACATTGCGACAGCTTACGAAAATTTTAAGTTAAGGTTCATCATAACAAATGGACAAAAATGGCTGTATTTACACCTTAAAAACTACTCTGTGTACAGACTTACCTGTCCAGTTTGGAAAGTTTTAAGGCCTGGCATCCACTAGATATATAAAAGTTAAATGCATTTTTTGTTTCAGAAAGATATAATCACTTTTGGATTTTGATGGGCATTTTTTGTCCTTTCTACAGAAGGTGTAAAAATAAACAAACACCTGAATTGCTTTGATACTGTCCACTCAGTTAAACCCTTTAACTCACCTATAGTTGTGTAGATACCTATTGTCTGTCTATTGTCCTTGTCAATCAAGGACAATCAATACAATACAATACAGTTTTTACCTGAGAGGGAGCATCTCAAAGTTTTATCCCAACTTAGTTCATTTTTACACCTGCAGAAAGGAAAAAAAATGGCCATCAAAATCCAAAAAAGATTTCATCTTTCTGAAACACAAAATGCATTTAACATTTATATATCTAGTGGATGCCAGGCCTTAAAACTTTCCAAACTGGACAGGTAAGTCTGTACACAGAGTAGTTTTTGAGGTGTAAATACAGCCATTTTTGTCCATTTGTTATGATGAACCTTAAGACTCTTTTGAAATAATTGCCCTGTGAAGATTATTTTTTGCTGGCCCGAATGCATTTTTAAACCCATTTACCAATTGAATTGAATGGGCGTTTGATATACAACTATAGTAATAAGTATAAATGTAATATTATGTGATGAACCTACCCGTTTGGAAAATTTCTTTCAAATATGGCGGCAATGATGTTGTGATCTCGCTGAAATCTCGCTACCCAAACAGGATCAGAAATCGTTCGTCACAACTCGGCCGATTCCGTACCTCCATCTAACACTATAGACTGAGAGAAGCGGAGTCCCCCGAGGTTAGCCGATTAAAATTTTAACTTTATTTTCATTCTTAGGGATGACATCAAAAGATCAATGTAGGATAAAAAAACTTAAATCAAATAGTTTGGGGGTGGGGGGTTAAAATTGCTGCAAGTTTTGTTTATCCAAAATCGATTTTACATATATCCATATTGGTCAATCAATTTTTCCCAAATTAAGTTAAGAGGGGGAGGGGGGGGGGGGGGGGGGGGGGGGTCAGTGAAAAAACTATGTGAATTAAGTTTTTTTTTATCCTACATTGAACTTTTGATGTCGTCCCTTATTTGGGGGGAATCGTTATTTTCGGTTATTTTCGTAAAAAAAAATCAAGGATGCGCTTCTCACTAAAATCAAAACAAAGAACAGATTTTGCTCGGAATTTCATCACAATAAAACTTTGTTTACTTTATATCAAATATTTTGTTTTATTTAATTTTAATTGCTCCGATCGATGTACAAATTTATTTTATATTTATTTCTCAAATCACATTAAAAATTACCGTACTGTAAAGGGGTATTAAAAAGATCTGAGACTAATTAGTTTAACATATTTTATTTGCTTATATATACAAAAGGGATGAGACACAAGTTAATCAAACTTATATATAGACTTCTCCCATGAACAATTATAACAATAGAATATTTACAAAGCATGCATGCAAACAATACATTATAATATATATATATATTAGAACTGTGAAAAAAATATGTGTGATGATGTGAATGGTTGTACACCCTATGCATGTATTTGCACTTAAGTGTGCTATATTACACAATTAGAAACCTCTTAGACTCTTTCATAATTTCATATACATTCTTCACAATTCTTTCAGTTCAACAGTAGTTAAAGACGTATCACCGGAGGTTAAGAAGTTCTTAAGTTGAGAATTCTCTTGTAACCAGTTCAGAGTATTTAATAATTTGGTTCTTATATTCGCATAATTAGGACAAAAAAGAGAAGTGATATGAATATTCACACTTAGCACCACAACTACAAGACGAATCTAAAATAACATTGACTCTGTTAAGATCATAATAGATAAGATAATATCACATGTGTAATGGTAGTCTCATAAAAGATGAATTATTTGAACCAAGGTTTTGTAAAGTACCACCAAGGATTTGTATAGCGAGACTCACTACACAAATCATTGGTATTTTATACAAATCCTTGTTTTAATACTCAAAAAGGCGTAAGCCAAAGCCGACTGTGCAGTCCCTAACCTAAAGGAAAAATCTTTAAATCTCCCTTTTTTTACTTGTAGTAGTATGTAACGGGCGGAAATTGAGAATGGAAATTGGGAATATGTCAAAGAGACAAATTCATATAAAAATTTCATATGAGTCCTTCAAAATTACTCATACATTGATAACAAAATATATTCAGTTTAAAAGGGAATTCTCACAAATTTTGCTGGTTTAAAATGTTGTCAGATATCTACAGGTTCGCTCATTATCGAAATGAAAATACAATTTTTTCCAGGAATTAGCGGAAAACAACCCAAATTCACATGATTTATTTCCATTTTTATGCATGCCTACATATCAAAGTCGCTTAAAATATCTACACAATATTTTAGATGCGGTCTCTAAAAACACCACAAAGGACATTCTTTGTGAAAGGAGCACAAAGGAGTTTTATAAGAGAACAAAGGACTTAAAATTGTGTATATAATGGAGAAAACAGTCATTTCATACGAAAAAAAAATAAATACTAAATTGAAGATTTACGAAACGAAAATCGGTATGGATATGCACAAGGTTACATCATTTTTTAGATTATGAATTATCGAAGATTTTATTGTTATTATACATATATTTTGAAATATTGCAAACCATGAACTTAAAAATAAACTGAGACTTTACAGAAGAAGAAAAAAGTAGCATAAATTGTTTGTCAAAATTTCAATTCCACAAATAATAACTAATTGTATAATGAGGACTTGATTGCGCTTGCATGGCATTAACAGAGATGTTTTCTTTACAATTAATTATCAGTGTTGATAAAGCCAGTCTTTAAAAACAAGGAAACTGTTTCAAATACAATTATTTGTACTTAATTTTTGAAAATACAACAAAAGGGAACTTCAGACTATGCAAAATTAATATAAATCACTCAAGGGGTGATCAAAGACATCGTCTATTGAGGTAAAAAGGGGAAAATAGAAACCAATTTACTCAAAATTTTATAAGGAATATAGAATGAGAAAGTTATAAAGTTGTAAAAAAAATATACAATGTTTTTCCCTTTCAATTCTTGCCAGAATTTACTAGTGTAATTTCCGAAAGAAAAAAAAGATTTATACTGTGTTTCTTTTTTCTGACAAATGAATTTGACATATTATCAAAAAGGTTTTATGTATTTTTATTACCTTTGTATCTTTATCAATATTTAATCTCAATTACCAGATTAAAATTTTCACACCTCTGTCACGTCACAGGTGTACTTTTACAACCATGTGTATTAACGGAACGACTGAGAGGTGTGAAAATAAAATAGATGTAAGAAAATAGTGTCATTTTTATTACAGGAACAGTTAGAACAACTTCTGTGATGTTGCTTAAATTTAACTCTAAATGGATAATCCACATGCAGGTGTTCTTTACATCCTTGTGTAATCATAAACAGTGTCAGCTAAGTTATGAAAAGTAAAATGAGAGATACAATAGTCATTTAAAAATAATAATAATAAAAATAAAATAATAATAAATTGTAAAAAGTTTATGTACAAATAGGTATAAAAAGAGCCAAATGAATAATTCCATACACTATAATTAATGCTCCGTTTTGAAGACCGTACTTAAACCTATAATCGTTCACTTTTACATTGAGATAGTAAAGCAGTTTAACTATTTTGGAATTGTTTTTACTAAAACAGGGAATTATAATATGACAAAAAAAAAACCAAAAAAACATTTATCCGATAAGGCCTTAAAAGCCATGTACGAAGTCCTGAAAATGGGAAGGATGTATCAGCTTTCTGTAAAATGTAAGCTTGATTTTTTTTACAACATTATCAAGCCCATGGGTGCGAAGTATGAGGTTTTAGTAATGATGAGATATTAGAAAAGATACATTTAAAATTCTGAAAATTACTTTTAAATCTGAAATCCTCAAACCCAAATTTATATGGTTTACGGGGAACTAGGTCGCCATCCGATCAAACATAGATATAAAAGTTCGAGCAGTATAATTTTGGGCAAATTTGATATCCGGCAAACAAGAAAAGTTTTCCTTTATATTGTATCAACTTTCTCGCCATATGAATGCTCATTATAACATGCAGACTAAATGGATTATATTTGTCAAAAAAATATTTCAAGATTGTGGTTTGTTATATATAAGGGAAACACAAAATTTCATAAATAAAGATTGGTTAAAAGCTGTTATAAAGCAAAGATTGTTAAACCAGTTTCGTCAGAATTGGAATTCGCTTATCCATAATTCATTTAAAGCTATTAACTACAAAAATATAGTGGGAATTTGAGGAATATTTCAATATTTTGGACTTGAAAGATACCGTTGATCTTTGTCTATTTCGAACGACTAATAACAAATTGGCATTGCCGATTGAAACAGGAAGGTGGCAAAACGTATTAAGAGAAAACCGTGTTTGCCATCAATATAATAATCAACCATTTGGAGACGAATATCACTATATATTTGAATGTACTTTTTTCCGATCAAAAACGTATAAAGTATTTATCCTCCTATTTTGTGCAACGACAACTGATGTCGAATACACGAAAACCAGTCCTGAAGAAGCTTTGTTCATTTATTAAAAATATTAATTCTTTTGTTTGTCCTCCTGGCTAGTGACTTTTGTAACCTCTCTCCTTGTTTTGTATATATTGTAATAGTTATTGTTGTTATCTCTGTACTTATGTCATGCATTGGCTTTATGAGAATAAAGACATATATAATAAAAAACTTAAAAACTTTATATACAAATTGTGACTTGGATGGAGAGTTGTCTCATTGGCACTCATGTCACGTCTTTTTATATATCTATTTATCAGTAAGAAAATTTGACAAAAAGAATATAGTGTAGTGCATGTTGGGAAAAGTGTCGGAAATTTCTTATTAATATAAAGTAACATAAGAAATGTATATTTGCTGTATTTTAAGAGACCGTATAGGTCTCAAGGGTGTTGAGTGGAGACGGTGTTTTAACCTTGTTTCATAACTCTTTAGTAGGGGAGTGGTAGTGAATGATATATTTTTTAACATTAATAATACTTTATTCCAAAAGCAATACAGCTTGTAGGATACATACATATACTAATAATAATGAAATAATATTGTATGCACCAATAATAGGAATGTTTACAAAATATTTTTGAGTTATTGGAGAAAGCATTATGCTTAAGCAACGAACTTTTACAACATGACAAATGATAAAAAGTAGAGAGCAATACAAAAAGACATAAAAAGAAAACAAATCAGTTCGAGTAACAATATGAGATCTGAATGACCATGCGAATTTTATGTAATTACACAATTTCTTTAAAATAATGAATGTGTTTGTTTTTAAAGTTAATCAGACGTTAACTTAAATAAATACTGTAATATAGGGACAATTCAATTTCGACAAATGCTACGACCAAATTCATCTATAGACAAGGGCATACTAATACAAAGTGATATTCGTTTTCAACCCACTGCCTTCGAGTAATTCTCTACCCACATCAGTATATCTTCCTTTTCAATTTCAGCTGTAGTGTACATTATTTTGTACTACTACGCAATTGAGGTAAAAATTGGCAATTATAACTGTTTAACAGTAATCTAAAAACTCTTGGGAACTAAATTTTAATTTTATATATATTCGTCAAAACTAAATTCTATTTTTTTTATTTTTCAATTACCTAGTACGTTTTTCGCAACTTTCTACAGATACTAACCAGCCTTATATAAACGTAACTTTAATTCTATCTTTTTTTTTTTTATAAAATCATCGATATGTACAATACTGTGTATTTCTGACTGTCGACAACACATACAATGTAGACCACTATCAAATTAAAACATTTGAAATAAAAGGTTTCAGCTATTTTTTTTAATTTTTAGGATTATCATTTATTTCAAAAACGTAAATAAATAATATAATAAAAAAAAATAGAAAGTGTTCGTTTTTTCTTCTAATTTAGCCCCTCCCATTTCATATTATGCAGTTATCAGTGATTGGTCTACC